TTTCGAGGCCAACCAATGTAAGAGAAATTTGCAACTTTTTGGGCTTAGTAGCATACTATAGGAGGTTTATTGATGGATTCTCCAAGATTGCAAGACCGCTAACAAAATTTACACTATAGGATACAAGGTTTGATTGGATAGAGAAATGTGAGCAAAGCTTTGAAGAACTAAAGCAAAAGCTAGTGAATGCTCGAGTATTAACTATACTTGAAGGATTAAAGGGTTTTGTGATTCATAGTAATTCCTCAAAGCAGGGATATGATGTGTCTTGATGCAACACAATAAAAGTGGTCGCTTATGCATAAAGACTGTTGAAGTCACATGAACAAAACTACCCTACGCATGACTTTAAATTTGCTGTGTCCATGTCGTAAAAAAATTTGAGGCACTACCTTTATGATGGTAAGTATGACATTTATATAGAACAGAAGAGTCTCAAGTANGTGTCCATGTCGTAAAAAAATTTGAGGCACTACCTTTATGATGGTAAGTATGACATTTATATAGAACAGAAGAGTCTCAAGTACATCTTCACTTTGAAAGAGTTGAACATGAGAAAGAGAAGATGGCTTGAGTAGGTAAAAAATTACGATTGCAACCTTCACTATCACCCAGGGAAGGCAAATGTTGCAGCAGACTCCTTAAGTTGTAAAGTGACAAGTCAAGTGGCGACTTTGACCATGCAAGAGCTTATTATGGAAAGAGTTTAAGATATTAAGCCTCGAAGTGGTCACAACTCCGCCATGTGCTATTGCTCGGATTGCAGTAATTTCGATTGGACCAACATTTCTTGACAGGATTAAGGACCATCAGAAATTCGATTACTCGTTTGAATTCAATAAGTTAGAGATTGATATGGAGAAGCGAAAGAAAATATTAGAAGAGGCTCACTTCGTTCCTTATTCAAAACATCCAGGAGGTACAAAGATGTACTAAGACATTAAGGTAGTTTTTTGGTGAAAAGGCATGAAGAGATATAAGGTTGAGTATATCGAAAAATATGTAGTTTGTCAACAAGTGAAAGCTAAACAACAATGATCGTCATGATTACTTGAACCATTAGAAGTTCCAGAGTGGAAATGGAAGATGTATCGATGGACTTTGTGGTTGGTTTCCAAAGTAAGAAATGGGTAATGAGGCTATTTGGGTCATTATGGATTAACTTACCAAATTGGCTCATTTCTTATCGGATCAGATGACATTCTCAACAGACGAGCTAGCACAGTTGTATGTGAATGAGATAGTAATGTTGCATGGTGTACCTGTTTCAATTGTATGAAATAGAGATCTAAGGTTCACATTGAACTTTTGGAAAAGCCTACGCCAAGCTATGGGAGCTAAATAAAAAATTAGTATAGATTTTCAGCCTTAGATAGATCGTCAATCTGAGCAAACACTGGAAGTTATGCTTCGAACATGTCTCCTCGAGTTTGGAGGACATTGGCGAAACATTTACCCTTGATTGAATTGGCATACAACAATAGGTATCACATCTCTATTGGATGGCACCATATGAGGCATTATATGAGAGGAAGTGTAGATTATTAGTTCATTGGGATGAGGTTGGTGAGCAAAACATTTTGGGTCAGAGATCATTGAACAAACAAGAGAGTTATGCTGACAAAAGAAGGAATCTGAATTTTTGGTAGGTGACAAAGTATTTCTCAATGTTGCACCAATGAAAGGAGTATTACATTTTGGTAAGAAAAGAAAGTTGCGACCAAAGTTCATTGGTATGTTTGAAATCTTGCAATGTATTGGGAATGTCGCGCATCATGTGGCTTTATCCTCAGAGCTTTCAACTGTGCATGACTTTTTTCATGTTTCAATACTCTGAAAGTACGTCCCTGATCCAAGTCATTTGGTCAACCACCAATCCATTGATTTACAACGGGGATTAAACTACGATGAATTGCCAATAAGGATCATTAATTAGCAATTTCAAGCACTCAAAGATAATGCGATCCCCTTAGTAAGTACAATGTGCAATGACTCCGTTAAAGAGGCAACTAGCGATAGAGAGTTAGAGATGCGAGCTAAGTATCCACAAATCTTCTATGAATTTAAAGGTAAGTTTCAAGAACAAACTTTATTGTTAGGAGGGTAGATTGTAATACCCATACCTATGGCCTAATTTTATTATTTAGGTTTGGCCCGTTAAAAAAAATAATAATAAATAAATAAACCAAGGGACACAATTAATATTGTAGCCTTATCAATTATATGGGAATCCATCATGTGAAATAATAGCCCACACCTTTTTGTATCATTTTTCTTTTGGGCTTAAGCCCAAATTGTTAAAATCTTATTTAATTTTATTTAAATAACGGAGATAATGTTTAGTTTTCTTTAGTCTCGATAATCATCTGATTTCTACGATAAAGTGTATAACTTGCCGATGCTCATCTCTATTTTCCCTAACCCGAGGAGGTGTCAACTACCTACACTGCACGGCTTGTGTTGACCTCAAATCTCCGTACTCCTTAACCGAAACCGATTCCCATAGGTTCCCAATTTTAAAGGAATTTCTGCCAAGATGACTAATTTTATCTCTTTTAGTTAGATTGAAATTTTAAATGATTGAGATAAAATTAAATTCTTGTTAAAATAATACTTTAATTTTATCTATATTTTATTTAATGTTAAAAGATAATTGAGATAACGTTTCAATATTTTCTCTTTCAACTTAAAGTGAAATATTAAATTATAAACATACTATTTTGATTTTACCTCTACTTTATTTAATTTTATAAATTATGGATATAATATTTTTTGTTATTTTAACCCATTAGTTGAAACGTGGTTGCGTTAATGATAAGATTTTGTCACTTTTAATTGAATTAGAACTCTCAAAGCATGGTCACCCCAATAAATAGTATCATATGTTCCATTTTTAAGTACATTCATTTCTCGTGAAGTGCACATATATACAAATATAGTATATCCTTTAGTATATGGGTCAAGAGTTGAAGTCCCAAATGTTCCTATATTTCTCTTATTGTTTTCACAAGATACTATAAGTGTATAAGTATTTTTATGGGATTATATATGTACTTAGATTTTTAGAACATTGTTAATGGGGTCCATTATGTATGTTCTGAGTTTGGACCAGAGTGTAGTAGCACTATACATGAAAATTCCATACCTCCTATGTTCGGTATAGATTTCATGTCTTACTATGTGTGTGTGTATGTATGTATGTATGTATGAAGTTCATTAAAATCTTTACATATATTAATCCATGTACTTATATGCTTATTGAGATTTTGTCTCACCCCTTTATCTCCTTTCAAGAAATTGATAGTTTGTAGCAATTAAGACATGAGAGGGCTGGCGAATTGGCAAATGAAAGAAACCCACCAAGCTTACTTTCATTTATTTAAGAACTTATTTAATTTATTGGTTTGATGTTAAGACTGCTAAAACTTCTAGTATTTTCTTTCATGTTGATTTCAATATTTAAGTTATATATTCATTCTTACTATTTCATACTATTATTCAAATAAATTTCAAGCTTTTGAAAGTGCAAATGATGTTCAAGATACGATTTTAGTGGAACTTAAACTATGGAGCTCGGGTCACCACAATAATTAATTTAATATATGGTTTGGTCCTAAAAACTAATCAGCCAAGAAACATACCGAACAAATCAACACAAAGGATTAGGAAATTAATATGGACATTATGTTTTCATTCTTTGAAAAAGAAGATGAACACATCTTTTCAAACATTACCTTCGATGTTCAATTCCAATATGCAATCTATTTTTTTGAGTTGAATTCCAAATTCGTTGACATTTTTGATAGTATAACTTATGCTAGGTGGAAGTCCATGCATTCTTTCATGGATTTTTTAAAGGTGGAAACTAAATGGCAGCAGCCATAATGGCAAAAATCATAAAATATTCAAGTTTCAGGAATAGAGAATCATTATTAATTATGTACAATTCCAGCAATACAATTGTTGTCTTTTATGGATCGGAGAATATTTTCTTTCAATGTGGGTGCAAAAGAATTCGTTGATATACATTTTCTCCCCACAATCACCACCTCAGGTTCAATGAGGAAGAAAATCAGAGTTACTCAACAGTTCACTGTTTTCACAGCAACATCATTCTGGGGATCTTATATGGATGTGGTCTGATGCTCGTAGTGCTGGTGGAAGCTCGAAGAAGCACGCATCTTCTTCAAAAATTAAAAGCTTAAATTTTCAAAAAATTTAATTTGTGCTTTTGCCAAGTTTTATTTTATTTTCATTGGAGAAGTATAAACGAATGAAAATTTGAAGTGTGAATGAAATTTTTTTATTGATCATTCAGTGTTTTTAACAATAGTATGGATTCATATACCCTATAAATCTACGAAATAACTAATGAGGTCACTAAACAAACAAAAATATATTTAAAGTTGGATATAAGATTAGACTAATCACATTTATCTTTAATAATGTTTTGCTCAACTTCGTTGAGGTACTTCTATAAAGGCTATATATCTATTTTGTAGATCAAATGTCCGCTATGTCTAAAGTAAGAAAACTCAGGAGGACCACTAAAATAAAAATCCTTAAAAGGTACTTCAAGTGTTAGTTGAGATTCTCTTTTGGCACGGATAAGAAAAAATCTAAACTTGGTAACTCAAGTCCGATGGTTTTTCGCCAATAATTTGTAGACATGAAGGCCCGTCGAAGAACTATGAACTTGGAGGCCCCCAAAAAAGTTCAACTCAGCCAATGAGAAGAAATTCAAAAATGGTACTTCGCACTCTCAACCGAAACCCTGCTGAATTCAGTATTCCATATCCTAAATACAAGTACATCATATTTGGAATGAAGAGATGTTTTGTGCTAACTACCCCAATTCCATATTTGTATCTCCCCATATTTTTGATGTTACATAAATCTTTACAGATAAACATAAACCTATAGGATCAATAAAAATTAAAAGTCTAATAAACCAATATTGCTATATAATTTATTCACAAGACCATGAAAATCACATGAAATGCACGTCAAACTCAGTAACATAATTTTAACATATGTTATCGCCACATTTATTAGATTTCAGGAATAGTAAAGAAAATCAATTTAATATCCATAAAACAATAATTACACACAACATACGTGCAAGCTTGTGCAATACCAAAACAATTGGTCCCTTTTGCTGCTTTGTCATCCAATTTTCACTTTTTCCCCCTTTCCTTGCTTCAAAAGCGACATCATTTAGCGTACGTGATGGATCCAAACAGAACAAACCCAAAGCTTTCTTTACCCAAAATTCGTTAATGATGCACTGCATGAGTCCCTTCCCGCCCGCCCACTCACCCATGATCACACACCCATTGAACCGAAATTCTACCCCATACAACTGGCCATTGCCAAGATATCGACTCTCCTCGTTGCCAATCACCCCATGCCTCACCTCCGAATAGCCTGCAACATTTAATGTTGATTGCTGATTTGAGGATTTTCTTAAATTATTTGCAAGAGAATTGAGTTTTTTCCATTCGTGACTGTTCTAAAGCTTTTCTACCTGGTTTTGTCATTCTTGGTATGAATCAGAATTGTAATTTACTAAAATTCCAACCCTGTCACTTTGAAATATTTATATTGTAAAAGAAAGTTGGGTTGGTGTTTTGATTTGTTTATAGCATAAGAAGAAAGATTTAGACACTATGTCATGTGATTTAACTACCATTCTCCAACATGAAAATATCAGCAAAAGAATTTATCACAATTTATAAAAGAAAAATTCAAAAAATGAATTGAAGCATGAATAGAATTAATCTGGTTTACTCCTAAAAAACAAATCAGCAAAGAAACACACCGAACAAATCAATACAATGGATGAAGAAATTGTTCTAGACGTAACATTTTTATTCTATGAAAAAGAGGATGAACAAATCTTTTCAAACTTTATCTTTGACTCAAAGCAATCTGAAAAACTTGAAGTCGTGATCTTTATGAACTTCTTGGGACCTCTGCTTGATTTCTCCTGTGATGGATGAATGAAGGGCTTTGTTTTTGTGGTTCTAGGTTTAGGAATCAATATGTATCAGTTGGGGCCCCATTTTGTGTCACCAAAGTCTCATACATATAGGCCTAGGGTAGGAGTGTTAAAATCCCATGGAAAAATTTTCCATAACCAAAATCACGTTTAAATACATGACCTTTGGCATGTACGAACGCAACCCAGTGCGTGCATGCACAGGAAATATGTGCAGATCAGAGTTCAGTCGAGGATGATAGTGTGTGAAACCACCAGCCGAACGTGCATGTGCGCTACAGAAATCGGCTTGCCCGTCCTGATTTCAAAAACTTAATAACTTTTGTACAATTCCTACTCGCAATCTATTTTTTTGAGTTGAATTCAAATTCGATGACATTTTGAATGGTATATTTTTATGTTAGGTGGAAGTCCATGCATCCTTTCACGGTATTTCTAGAAGTAAATATAAGAGTTCAAAATCATAAAATATTCAAGTTACAGGAATAAAGAATCATTATTAATTATGTACAATTCGAGCAATGCAATTGCTGATGGATAACTTTTGTACAATTCCTACTCGCAATCTATTTTTTTGAGTTGAATTCAAATTCGATGACATTTTGAATGGTATATTTTTATGTTAGGTGGAAGTCCATGCATCCTTTCACGGTATTTCTAGAAGTAAATATAAGAGTTCAAAATCATAAAATATTCAAGTTACAGGAATAAAGAATCATTATTAATTATGTACAATTCGAGCAATGCAATTGCTGATGGATCCGGGAATATTTTCTTTCGATGTGGGTGAAAAAAAATTTGGCAATAAACCCTTTTCTCCCTGCAATCACCACCCCAGGTTCAACAACGAAGAGAATCAGAGTTTACTAAATAGTTCATTGTTTCGACAGCATCATTCTAAGGATCTTATTGGTTGTTGTCTGATGTTTGTAGCTCTTGTGAAATCTCAATGAAGCATGTATCTTCTTCAAATGGTAAAGCTTAACTTTTCTGAAAATTCATGTGTTTTTACCTACTTTAAATTTACTTTTGTTGGAGAAGTATAAATAAATGAAAACTTGAAGTGAAAATGAAACCTCTTTACTGATCAATGAGTTTATTTTACAATAGTTTGGATTCATTTATTCTATAAATACCAAGGTCACTAAACTAATAAGAAAACGTTTAAGGTAGGATGCAATATTAGACTTATCACATTTGTCTTTAATAATTTTCTTCTCTACTTCATTGAGGTATTTCTGACAAGACTACATGATTTTGGAGATCAAATGTGGCTATGTCTGGAGTGAGAAAGCAGGGCAAGACCACAAAAATCTAAATCGTAGACAGGTGCTTCACGTGTTATTCGAGATTCTTTTTTGGCACGGATAAGCAAAAAATATGTCCTTGGTACCTCATGCCCTATGGTTTTTCATCAACAATTTTATAGACCTGGAGGTCCATCAGGAACCATGAACTTGGAGGCCCCTTAATAAACTTCTAACTCGGCCAGTGAGAAACAATTCGAAAATGGTTCTTTGCACTCTCAAATGAAACCCTGCTAAATTCAGTATTCCAGATCTTCAAAACCAGTACACCATACGTGCAATGAAGTGATGTTTTGTGCTAATTACCCCAATTCCATTCTAGTACCTCTCCATATTTTTAATGATACGTAACTCTTGTACACTATTATTTTACACATAAATATAAACTAATCGCGTTAATAAAAACTAAAAGTCTAATTAACCAATATTGCAAATATAATTCACCCGCGAGACCATGCAAATATGGTGAAAAGCTCATCGACCTCAGTAATATAATTTTAGAATATATTTTCACAATATTTATTGGATTTTAGAAATGGTAAAAAACATTTAATTTAACATCCATATAACAATAATTACGGGCAACATACGTGCACGCACGTGCAATACATCAATACATTAGTATTATTTACCTAACTTATATTATAAGAGCCAATAAATTGGTCAGTAGCTACTGCTGCCCCATCTAGTTTTCCTTTTTATTTCTTTTTTCCTTGAGTTAAAAATGACGTCGTTTAGTGTATGTGTGATAGACCCTCAATCCACACAACATACCAAAGGCGCAAGCAAGGATCAAGGGGAATTGGCACAATTGCAGGAACAATTGCATAATTATAGCACCAATTGCAGTTACCAATTACATAATTACAGCACCAATTGCAGTATAAATAAGGGCAATAATCACGTTACCAGCATCCAGAAATTGGGAGATTCCTTAGGAGAGTGTGGGCCTCTCGAATGTCCATTAATCTTGTTATTTTTTTTCCATTTTTTTGAATAAAGAATCTGTTTCCCTGATCGCAGGTTCGTTCCTCTTGTAATCACTATTTAGTGGTTAAATTCTCATAATAAAACTCCTATTATGTTTTCGATCTATCATTGGTATCAGAGCCGTTGCGAACGAGATAATGAATTTATCGGATCGTGTGGGGGAATTGGAAGGCGTCACCAGAAATTGCATGGACAGATGGAAAAGATGTAAAATGGGTTTGATAGGATGCAGGTGGAAATGCAAAGGGTGCGGAATATTGAGAAAAATATGGAAATGATCCTGGAGCAGTTCACCTTCATAAGAACAAAATGGGAAGAAGGGGAGAGAGAGAGAAAGAGCAAAGAGGAAGAACGAGGGAAGGAATTGGAGTATGACTTGCCTTTGGAAGGTTCCTAAGGCGTAAAAACAAGCTGTCGTGTCGTTTCTGGAGGGTCGGGAGACCACTGGAAACCAAAACTTAAGGGGAGAAGGCTAGAGATGCCTATTTTTCTGGACAAAATCTAGATGACTGGATCTTCGAAGTCGAACAGGATTTCGGGGTGAATCAATTGACAGAAGGGGAGAAATTGGAGTCGGCAATACTATGTTTTGAAGGGGATGTACTCGCCTGGTACCAATGGGAGCAAAGAAGAAAGGGGGTAAAAAATTGGGAAACACTAAAGTCTTACTACGAGCGAGGTTCATATCGACGCTGGAAGGCACCATGGAGGAGCGCTTCCTAGCTCTCCGACAAGAAGGGTCGGTCATGGAGTATCGGGTTGCCTTTGAGACATTAGCAGCACCAATTGGGTAGATCTCAGAGGCCATATTGGAGGGCCATTTCATCAATAGGCTATCTCCAGAAATTAAGACCGAGATCCGTGTGTTGAAGCCCAGGGGGTTGGAGCAAATCATGGAGCTGGCCCAATGCATTGAAGAAAAGAATCAAGCCATGCAGGCACATTTTGGTGGTTCTCGCCCAGTGCAAAATAAAGCAAATACCAATCGAAGTTGGCGCAATTCCCCTGACACGACCCGTCCCGAATCACCCTAGTGGACCCGAAACGTAACGTGCGCCGATGATAGATGCTAACTAGATGTCAAATCTACCACCAAGACTGACTATGAGTTATTTCAAAAAGATGCAACAAAATCAATTGCTTATGTAAAATATAATGCGATGGGCCCAAAATATTTACTTTGTGCTTCATCAAAATGAGTTATAACGCTCAACATGTCGTGTGGCTCTCATTTCGAAATCATTAGGCTTTTCCAGCTAAGAATGATTAATTTTCACCTGTAGAAAAAATCGTGGAAAAATATATGAGTTGATAGTTCAGTGAGTGGAGAAGTTCAAAATAAATATTCTTTTTCATTTATACATTTTTATTGAAAATCAAATTCATACCATTTGATAATTCACAAGCTATCATCATGTAATTATAGCCAAAAAGTGAAATATTCACATAATGTCATAAAAATATCATGTTAAAATCATGATATAACATCAGCTGATAACCATGTTATAATCTCATCATATCAAACGTGCTGAAAAATCCATCAAAAATGTACCCTCTGACTGAAATATGTAATCCGCCCCTCGGGCTAAGAACTTTCGCCATGGGCCTTTGGCCCCTCCGTGAACGAAAGCCGGTCTTAAAGACCTCTCAAAATCAATTCTAGAACACGGCCAAGGCCCCTCAATGAACTATATGTATACGGTCGAGACCCCTTCATTCCCGGTCCATGACCCCTCAGTGTAGTATAGAACATGACCAAGGCCCCTCAGTGAACTAGAAGAAATATATAATCACGGGTACTTTTCTGATCGATCTCAAAATCATATCTCATATTCCAATTCACAATGTAACGTATATAATCTTTGAAATCTCACATGTATCATAATAAAAGATATTTTCATAAAAATCATGTAATTTGAACACATAATTGCACATACTTTAACAATAAACTTAATTTATAAATACTTTAAAAATATTTATATTTTTCCACTCACCGAATTATAGGCTTCAAGCTAATTTAGACATTTTGCCTTTCGAATATCCTCACTGCCTCAATCCTGAAATAACAATAAACTTTTATTAATTCAAATTGGTTACGGATTCCCAAATACTCATCTTAATTGTATTCCTTTATCTCTTATTTTTTATTTCTTCTCTAGTTCTTCCTTGTCTAAAAATATATAACATAAATAATTGGACAGCTTCTATAAACTCCAAACTTGTTCCTTTATTTCACTTCCAATCCACGAAAACACCTATATATTTCAGTAAGTTTCATATTCGCTTGATTGAAACCAAAACCCATCTTAAAGCCTGGTTCAAGCTGAAAAGAAGCCTAAAAGAAAAGTCCAAAATTCTTTCTTGATGGTACCCAAACAGCTACTTGTTCATCTAAAAGTCCTCCCATCTAGATGTCTAAAACGAAAATTCCTCCTTACACTAATATAAACCCATATTGTTCAAGTAATTGGGAAATTATGAACACTTAATTAATGATTAAAGTCAATAACATCAAACCCCCTTGCCCATTTAATTCTCGTTTCTCACACTTTCAACCCAAATTCCACTAACGTTCTAATTCTTGAAATTCGAGTATGGATGAAAAACCAAAAATCACACCTCAACTAACACTAAAATAAATAAAGTCTTAAAACAAACTAATCTCTATAAAATGCTTAACTTTAAACACTAATTCCTTTTTACCTATTGAAATAGAAGAAGAACTGGAGAACTATGAGATTAGACAATTTCCTTCAATCACCTTGATTGGCCGCCATCTTCTCTCTCCCTTTTTCTTTCCCAAATATCCTTCTACCTCTCGATTCTTCTGTGCTCCCCCACAATGAATGGATTTGGTCTAAATTTAACAAATGCAAAAATGAAATAATTAATAATAGGACCCTCAACTCCGTTGTAGTTTGCAATTTAAACCTATTGTTTCCATCTGATTTAAAAATCAACAATTATTCCTATAATTAGTTTAACCCACACAATTCCCACTTGCTTATACAAGTCCCCATAAAATCAATTACTTAATTTAAGTCCTTTTGACTTTGACCAGTCAAACATTTGACTTTGAATAAATAATATTGACCTTTGACTAGTATAAAATGGGGTGTAACATCCCCTTACCGGCATACGACCTTCAACGCACCAACCACCAACCCACAGCCTGTAATGTCAATTGAAAATCGAAACATTGCTCCTGCCGGCACAGCCTCTTTCAGTTTTAAAAAGCTTAGTAAGGCCAAATTTAAGAATAAGCAAGAGAAGGGACTTTGTTTCCACTGTGATAAGAAATACTCTATTGGGCACAAGTGCAAATCCAAAGAACTGCAAGTGTTGTTGGTTCGTGATGCGGAGATAGAAGGATTAGAAAGTGAAGAGAGGTGCGAGGAACCAGATGAATGTGGGCGGGGCAGTTATCGGTGAAGTGGTTGAGTTATCAATGAACTCGGTGGTAGGGCTCACCCCGCCTCAAACCATGTAAATAAAAGGGATGATTTCTAGTTAAGAGGTAGTTGTGCTAATTGATTATGGGGCTAGTCACAATTTTATTTCTGTTGAGATAGTACAGAAGTTGGGATAGCCAAGAACTTATAAAACTGGATATGGGGTAATCATGGGCACGGGTATGGCAGTGCAAGAAGCGGGGGTGTGCAAGGAAGTGCAATTATCCCTCCAAAACATTGAGATAATGGAAGATTTTCTTCCCTTGGGTTTGGTGAGCTACGATGTGATTCTAGGGATGAAGTGGTTATCATCCTTGGGACCAACCAAGGTTGACTATAAAACTCTAACGATGAAGTCTCAAGTTAGGGATACTACCATGAGTTTGCAAGGGGATCCAAGCTTGACTAAAGCATTAGTCACCTTGAAGGCCATGATGAAAGCTTTCAAGGAAGGAGGTGAGGGTGTGCTTCTTGAATTAGGCAACATGGGGGTTGAGCTTGGACAGGCACAGAGTGAGCCACCAATAGAAATTATAGAGGTGTTGAGAGAATTTGGGGAGGTTTTTGAAGAGCCTGAAGGGCTGCCGCCACAATGAGACAATGATCATGCCATCCACTTGCAACCAGGAACAACCCCTATAAGTGTGAGGCCATAACATTACCCCCATGTTCAGAAAAATGAGATCGAGAAATTGGTCAAAGAAATGCTAACAGCCAAGATTATCAGGCCAAGTACCAGTCCTTTCTCAAGTTCAATTTTATTAGTAAAGAAAAGAGAAGGAGGATGGCGCTTCTATGTAGATTATAAAGCCATAAACAAGGTAACAGTACCAGATAAGTTTCCTATTCCGATGATCGACGAATTGTTGGATGAGCTACATAGGGCAACAATCTTCTCTAAACTCGATCTAAAGGCTAGTTATCATCAAATTTAGGTCAAACTGGAGGATATCCCAAAAATGGCATTCAGGACCCACGAAGGGCATTATGAGTTCTTGGTAATGCCATTCGAATTGACAAACGCACCATCCACATTCCAGTCACTCATGAATGAAGTATTTATAGAATAGTTGAGGCGATTTGTTCTCGTGTTTTTTGATGATATTTTGGTATTCAATCGAAGTTTGGAGGATCATGCGGAGCATCTCAGGAGAGTCTTGCAATTGCTAAGACAACAACGGTTGTATGCCAATCGTAAGAAATGTAGCTTCGATCAACCAGAAGTAGAATACTTGGGGCATTGCATTTCACAACGGGTTGTGGTCGTAGACAAGTCAAAGATTCAAGCCATGGTAGACTAGCCTAGTCCCCTCTCATTGCAAGAGTTAAGGGGATTTTTGGGACTCACAGGGTATTACCGCCATTTTGTAAAGTATTATGGTAAATTAGCATGGCCATTAATAGAAAGGTTAAGCAAAGATAATTTTTTGTGAGATGAAGAAGTAGAGCAAATGTTCAGAATATTGAAAATAGCCATGATATATGTACCAGTCCTCGCACTTCCGGACTTCAATCGTCCCTTTTTAGTGGAGACAGACGCTTCGGGTTTTGGTGTGGGAGCTGTGTTAATGCAAGACCATCATCCTATTGCATACTATAGCTGTGCGCTTAATCCAAAAGGGAAGGCAAAGTCAACTTATGAAAGAGAATCGATGGTGATTGTGTTTGTGGTGCAAAAATGGAAACACTACTTGCTTGGTCACAAATTCTATGTGCGAACGGATCAGAGACGTTTAAAAGTCTTATTGGAACAAGGAGAAGTGAACTCAACGTATCAAAAATGGTTATTTAAGTTAATAGGTTATCAATTTGAGGTCCAATATCAACCGAGAAGTGAAAACAAGGCTACTGATGCCCCTTCCCGCATCAGTTCTTCCACCGAGTTAATGGCAATATCAGCTCCTACGGTAGTGCAACTAGACATTCTTGTGGAAGAAGTTCGTGCAGACTCACAGTTACAAACTATCATTCAAGAACTCAGGCAAAGTCCTTTTCGCAGACTAATTTTGCAGTGGTAAATGGCCAGCTGCTATTTAAGGGGCGTCTATTTCTACCCAAAGGATTATCACTGATTCCATTAATGTTACAAGAGGGGCACGACAGCAAGATTGGAGGACACTCTGGCTATCTGAAAACTTACAAATGCATCTCCGAAAATGTCTATTAGGAAGGGATGAAAGCTAATATTCAACGTTATGTGAGCCAAAGTGCAGTTTGTCAACAAAACAAGTATATCGCACTATCACCGGGGAGATTATTGCTGCCGCTACCGATTCCTAATCAGGTTTGGGAAGACTTAGCCATGGATTTCATCGAAGGGCTTCCAAAATCAGGCAACATGGACACAATCTTGGTAGTAGTAGATAGATTAATCAAATATGGGCATTTCATAGGGATTAAACACCCTTTTACGACGGCAAGTATGGCTGGAATTTTTATTAAAGAGGTGGTGCGTCTACATGGAGTACCCCGCTCTATAGTGTCGGATAGAGACAAGATTTTTGTAAGCCATTTTTGGGAAGAATTATTTCGTCTGCAAGGTACGAAACTCAATCGTAGTATAGCTTACCATCCCGAATCTGATGGACAGTCAGAAGTACTAAATCCCACCCTAGAAACATATCTTCGCTACTTTGCTTCATCACGACCCAAAGGCCGAGTTATGGTATGACACTTCCTTCCACATGGCAAGCAAGACTTCTCCCTTCCAAGTTTTATATGGGCGCGAACCTCCTGCTCTGCTAAGGTTTGAAAAAGGTTCCACCCCATTTTCAACAATAGAACAACAACTCCTTGAAAGGGATCGGGTTCTAGAGGAATTGAAAGCACAGTTACTACAACCCCAGACGAAGATGAAGAGCATAACTGACTATAAGAGAAGGAATGTTCAGTTTAATGTTGGAGATCTTGTGTATTTGAAGATTAGACCATATCGTCGCAAATCCTTAGCTGTGCGACCTAACAAAAAGTTAGCACCACGATTTTACGATCCATTTGCGGTGGGTTAGAGGATTGGCAAGGTTGCTTATAAGCTAATTCTTCCTCCAACATGTAACATTCATCCCGTATTTTATGTATCCCAGCTACGCAAGGCAAAAGGAGCAGTGCAGGCTGTGAAAAAAATACCCAACCTATTAAGTGAGGAGTTGGAGATTTTGGCTGAACCAGAGACATTACTTAGGGTACGAACTGGCTTAGGTAGCAATATTCGAGGCTTGGATGTTTTAATACAATGGAAGGGGCCACCCCCACTTGAAGCTACTTGGGAGTCTTACGACATGGTTAAGCAACAATTTCCTTCCTTTCACCTTGAGGACAAGGTGAAACTTATGGGGAGAGGTAATGGTAGACCCTCAATCCATGCAACATACCTAAGGCGCAAGCAAGGATCAAGGGGAATTGGCATAATGACAGGAACAATTGCATAATTACAGTACCAATTGCAGTTACCAATTGCATAATTACAGCACCAATTGCAGTATAAAGAAGGGGAATAATCACATTACCAGCATCCAGAAATTGGTAGATTCCTTGGAAGAGTGTGGGCCTCTCGAATGTCCATTAATCTTGTTATTTTTTTCCTTTTTTTTAATAAATAATCTGCTTCCCTGATCGCAGGTTCGTTCCTCTTGTAATCACTGTTTGGTGATTAAATTCTCATAATAAAACTCCTGTTCTATTTTGGACCTATCAATGTGATGGATCCAAACAGAACAATCCCAAAGCTTTCTTCACCCAAAATTCCTTATTTTTTTTGGCTATGGGGAAGTCCATGCCTTTCGTGGTATTTATAAAGGTAGAAACTAAATGGCAACAAACATAAGTAGTTAAAGTCATAAAATATTCATGTTTCGGGAATAAAGAATCATTATTAATTATGTACAATTCCTGCAATGCTATATTGTATTCAATGGAAAAGAGAGTATTTTCTTTCAATGTGGGTGCAAAAGAATTTGTCGATAAATCCTTTTCTCCCAGCAATCACAACCTCGGGTTCAACAGGGAAGAAAATCAGAGTTTACACAATAGTTCACTATTTTTCACAGTAACATCATTCTAAGGATCTAATTTGGTTGTTGTCTGGTGTTCATAGAGCTGATGAAAGCTCGAAGAAGGTGTATCTTCTTCAAATTGTAAGAGCTTAACGTTACTAAAAATTTAATTTTTTACTTTTGCTTACTTTTTAATTTACTTTTACTGAAGAATGGAAACTAATGAAAAATTGAAGAAAGAATGGCATTTTTTGTGATCAACCGTTGTTTAGAAAAATAGTACTGATTCATCTACTATGTATATCTATGATATAACAAACAAGGTCGCTAAACAAACAAAAATATGTTTAAGGTTGGATCTAAGTTTAGACTAATCACATTAA